CTCCCGTGAGCACACCCAGTCTTCCTTACCAGTTTTCCCTCGTTGAGGGAGGAGAGTTTAGCTCTAATAGTTGGTATGGAGCCATTGAGCGTAAAGATTTCTGTTTGGTGTGCATACTGGGATTTTTATTTGTAGCAATGGCTGGCCTTCTTGGAGGAGGAGGAGGAGGAGGTCAGCAGCAACAAGGAGGAGGAGGTCAGCAGCAACAAGGAGGAGGTGTAGCACCAGCTCAACAGCAACAAGGAGGAGATGCACTGATATTACTAGCCCAGCAACAGCAACCAGGAGCTAATGAACAAACCAATGGACAACAAGGAGAGGAGGGACAAGAAGGACAGGAGCAACAAGGGCAGCATGAGGAAGGACAAGAAGAGCAAGGAGAAGGAGCTGAGGTACAAGGAGAAGGAGACCAGCCACAAGAAGAAGAGATACAGACAGGACCAGAGGAAGGAGGGGACCAGTCTGGGGAACTGCAAGGAGAAGGAGGAAGCCAACAAAGAGGAGAGGAACAGAGGGAGCCACTGGAACAAGGACTGGAAAAACAACTGGAAGGAGGAGGGATACAGGAGGAAGAAGGAGTTAATGATCCTGTCCATAATAATGAAGCTACTCCAACTGTAGAGTCTTGTTCTAATAGTAAGCATCAATCAATATACAGTGTTGATATTGATTGATTGTATGTAATAGTTAATACTGATGTACAGAAGAGTATGAAATATGCTGGACTGGTTTACTATGAGGAGAAAGGTGTAGAGGATCTAGTGACATTCACTGCTGCTAAAAAATTGGATGCACTCATTCAAGTAAGAATATATTCCTATACACACAATGTGTTGATTATTATTTGATAGTTTATTGAGCGGAAACACTCTCAAGCTGAGATTGGACCAGATATTTCCTTTTGTTTCAAGTTTCCTTATGATCACATTGAATTGAACTTCACTGCACCCCAGGATGAACCAATCACTGGTTGGATGGTCAAACCTCACACCAAACCCAGCAGAGTAAGCTTCTATTTGTCTGTAATACTTATTCACATACATGCAATGTATTGTTATGTTACGTACAGTTATATCAAGAGGCTGTTGATAAATTTGGTGATAAAGAACATTGTCGTCCTTCATCTTGCCTTATTTCAGTTTATGGATCACCTGATGCTGTCCCTTTTCTTAATTATTCTGTACCACTAGTAGGTGTATTTGAGCCTGTGACTG